CGAGGAGCAATAACAGCTTTGACATTCGATAAATCTGGGGTAAGATTAGCATCTGGATCTAAAGATACTGATCTAATTATTTGGGATGTAGTCAGTGAAGTGGGGCTCTTTCGGTAAGCAATGTAACATATTTTAAGCACAATATATAATTATAGATTATGACTGGTTATACTGATCATTCACTTGTTTCAGGATGCGAGGTCATAAAGATCAAGTTACTGCAATTCGGTTTCTCAGTAAACCATCTTTAGATGGTGTTATCTCAGAAGACATTTCTTCTCATGGATATCTTCTTTCATCTTCGAAGGATACATTTCTCAAATTATGGGATTTAAGTACTCAACATTGCATGGAGACAATAATTGCACATCGCAGTGAAATATGGGATTTTGATGAAAGTTAATTGTTACTGGAAGTGACGATTATCATGACGTGTTAGCTCAAGGACTTGAATTAGAAATTAATTTGAATGATGAAAATGCTGAGGTTATTATTTAATATTTATATTAGATATTAACTACTTTTTTTGATTTTTTTTTCTAATTAATATTAAAATTTGACCACCATGAAATTAGATAAAAAAAGCAATTAACTTTTACGGAAATGTAAAAAGACAGTGTAAAGAACGTGTTATACTCTCAAATTTTACCCAACTGTCAATATATTGGGTGTTCAAGGTCCTGAAAAATATGTATCGTATTCATTCATATGAAGAAATAAAAAAAGAAAATGACCCGTCGTAAGAAACGTCAGAAAGAAAAAAAAAAACAAAAGGCTAGAGAAGATTCTAATATGGATATTGATGATGACTTGACGGAAATTAATGCTAGTGATATGTTAACTCCTATCATATGGTTCGAACTGGAGCAAAGATACGATCTTTTGATTTTTCACCAAAAGATGATATTACAAGATCTGGTTCGATAGAGGTTAGTCTTATAAAAAAGAAGTTTAATAAATTTTATTTTAGCCATAATTCACATTACCCATTACTTATGAACTTGCTAGTTCTTATGTCTTTAACAAATAATACTCTCGAACTTTACACGATAGGCCTTCCTGTCAAGAAAAAAGATAAATTATTAGAAAATACCATTTCATCAAAATTGTATTCCGTTGACCTTCCTGGCCATCGTAATGATGTCAGAACTTTAGCATTAAGTTTTGACGATGAATTATTGTGTTCTGCATCAAAGAGCACACTTAAAATTTGGAATATGAGAACTACGTCATGTCTTTAAACAATTGATTGCGGATACGCTTTATGTAGTTCGTTTTTACCAGGAAACCGAAATGTGAGAAAAACTCTACCGATTCATCAATTTATTGGATTATTATATTTATGACTGCATTGTATAATAATTTAGGTAATAATCGGTACAAAACTTGGGTATTTGGAACTATTTGATATCGCGTCTTCATCTCAAATAGAATCAATTAAAGCATATGATGGACCAATATGGTCCTTGCAAGTTCGACCAGACAAACGCGAATTGGTGACAGGGAGTGCCGACTCTAACGTCAAATTTTGGGAATTTAGCACATCTCAAAAAGCCGATACTAATGAATCTCAGGTATGTAAGTAAGTTTTCTCTTAAGCATTTGATAAAAGATAATTTCTAATTTATTAAT